TATTATTATTATTGTTAATAATTATTTAAACCTATACTTTATGTAACATTATTAAGAATTATATACAAAACACTTAAAACTAAGACGGAAAAATATCGCACGCACGGGGGATCGAACCCTAGACCTCGAGGACGCAAGTCGAATACAGATACCGCATAGCCACGCAAGCTTGGAAGCGACCTCGCTTAAACTTCCTTTTGAATCATGAGACCGTTATATACAGTGCTATCATAATAAATTGACTGTATCATATTTATTTATAGAAAAATTATTAAAAATGTATGTTATATATATATATATATATATATATATATATATATATATATATATATATAAATTAATATGTTTATCATAAAAATATGGTAAAAATTATTAATTTAATTATTTATTCTCTATTATTTATAATTTAACTATTTTTTAAAATAATAAAAATTTTTTTATTATTAATAATTTACAATAATACTAAAAATTATTAATTAATAATAATTTATTTTTTGCCTTAAACATGGAATTTTAATTTAAGTGTGAAAAATAATTAAGAGTTTTTAAGAGTTATAAATGTCAAAAATAATATGTTAATATTATAACCACAAATAAATTTAACATTTTAGCCAATATTTTTGGCTATCATCATGATAACATTGACAAATGGTTCACCCTCGACAATTGGTGCGTTTGTCCTATTATCTTAAATTAAAGGAGAATAAATTCTTAAGACATCCCTCGAGGCCAATTTTTGAGTTTTTAATTGTTTATAATTTTTATTTTCAAATTTCAATCAAAGTTAACAAATTAACACAATTTTTTAAAAACGGATGTTTATTTTCTTATTCCGTTACTGCACATGCTCTAAATCAGTTCAAATTAATCCAATATTACCAGCAGACAATTAAAAACCCATAAAGTAATATATTTCAATTGTCATAAACAACATTAATTAACAAATAGTTAACTTTGATTCCTCTCCAATAAAAAATATTTTTCTCACATTTTCTTTTTAATTTTAGTTCATTTGAAGAATATTTTTCCTTTATGATTAAAAAATAACTTATTTAAATTGTTATAAACAATATTAATTAACAAATATTTAACTTATGATCCTGTCCATCAAAAAATTTTTGTTACAAATTTTCTTTTTTACTTAGGTTCTTTTAAAGAATATATGTCTTTTTTGCTTATAATATAACAATAATAAAATAAGTTATTTCTTAATCAAAAAGGACAAATATTCTTTAAATAGACTTAAATTAAAAAGAAAATGTGAAAAAAAATTTTTAGTGGAATAGGAATCAATGTTAACAATTTGTTAATTAATATTGTTTATAACAATTTAAATAAGTTATTTTATAATCAAAAAGGACAAATATTCTTTAAATGAACTTAAATTAAAAAGAAAAGGTGAAAAAAACATTTTTTAGTGGAGAGAAATCAAAGTTAACTATTTGTTAATTAATATTGTTTATAACAATTGATATAAATTACTTTCTGTTTTATTAATTGTGTGGTGGTCATATTGTATTAATTTGAACTGATTCAGATCATATGCAGCAACGGAATAAGAAAATAAGCCTCCTTTTTTGAAAAATTGTATTAATTTGTTAACTTTGATTGAAAATAAAAATTATAAACAATTAAGAACTAAAAAATTGACCTTAAGGGATGTCTTAAGAATTTATTCGCCTTTAATTTAAAATAAAGAATACTGAAACCGGTTAAGAATTGTAGGCTGTAGACAGTTTTGAACAATAAATTGTTAAAAAAATCCCATTGTGCGCTGTTTGTAGATCCTTGGGCAAACCCGGCCTGGTCCTGGTCGGGGCCACGAAGTCGGGGCCAGATCATGAAAACCCGACCGGGGCCAGGGCGGTAATCGGGAACAAAAGTGGCGATTTCTGCACGGGAAGTGTACTGCCCTGGTTAAAAAACCGGACAGATTTCGGACTAATCCGAAATTTGTCCGAAACAGTGCGGTTTATGGGCATGTTTTTGTCACCCAAAATTAATCTGAATAAATCCGAATTCTATACGGTTTGTGAATAACTAGTGAATCCGGAGTTAGTTCGATGAAGTCCGAAATAAATCTGTTAATTTTAACTAGTGAATCCGGAATTAATCCGAAACAATAAAATTAGTCCAGACAATTTAGTGAATGTTAATAAAAAAATAATTTAATAATTATACAAGTTATACATATTGATTATTATTATTTTATTGTACATTCAACATATTTTTCGATATACCTATCGCAATTTTATTAACATTAACTTAAAATTTCTAACGCTTGGGGATTCGAACCTACACTTATCTAACATTATAACGCACCGAAATCAAATACACTAACCGCTTTTTTTTCATTTATTTTTAAACAACAATATAAAATCTGGTACAACGCAAAAAAAATGAACAAAAACGTTTTGCAAAAATTTAGGACAATTCTGCATCGAAAACGGGCTTTCAAAGCCAACACCTCGACAAACTCTTTCATATATATATAAATATATATATATATATATACACACATAAACTTTTTTTTTTCAGTTTACCACATAAAAACACATTTAACATTATTTATATTTCTCTTCATCCAGAAACACCCTGAGGCGAAAACTAACTACATACATTTTAACAAAAAAAAAGAAAGCTAGAAGAATATTTCCTTAAGATAAAAAAGCTTCACTATATCAAATCTATTTGTTTCAATCCCATGTGAAATTTCACCGATTGCATCCCTGTAACTGTCGACTATGTTTAACCGCCATGCATCGGATCTTTTCAATGCAATTGTAACCATATCCCCTCTTCGACTCTTCCCCACCCCAATTGCTATAAAACAGTTGGAAAGCGAAGTGCCGAGATTACACTAACCGCTATACCACGCCCGCATGGGATTTCAAATTCATAATAGAATTTATGAAGTGCCACGAAAAGAAATGACAAAAAAACTAACACACATCAGTATTAATTATAATATTGAAAAAAGAACTTATAATACTAGTAAATTTGTAAAAACAAATTGACTGCAGAAGTAAATATTTTATTTATCATACGTAAATACCCTGAATCCGGAATTTGTCCGCAAGAGTACGGTTTATTAAGGAGTTTTTCACCCTGAATTAAGTTTGAACTCAATACAGTTTTTTATAACTATTGAATCCGTAATTAGTCAGGTTTAGTCCGAAGTTCGTCAGATCATATGCAACTAGTAAATGCAGAAGTAATCTGGTTGGTTTAACCAGTGAATTAAGTCCGGAATTAATCTGGCTATGGCCAGGTTTTTGTCATACGAAATTATAATTATAGTTTGAATTTATCCGAATTTAATAAAAATTGTTTTTTAACTGGATGAAGTCCAGGTTGTGATAAATTCTAACCGGATACTTTGCATAAAGATTTTTAATTCTTTTAGATTGATATCGTATTAAGATTTAACCTTAACCTCACTTTTCTTTGACTGTATTGAATCCGGATTAAGTCATTGAATTGGATTGAATATGGATTGTTTTCGACTGTCTATGGATTGAATATATTTACAAATTCCTTATTACCTATACCAGACTTATTTTCACTTACTCCAATTAAAATTTATTTAATAATTAATGTCAATTTAACCGTTCATAATTGGTCGGTTAAGGATTTAATCATGGATTAAATCCGGATTGTTTTGGACTTTTTACATACTAGCTGCGATACCCGTCTTCGACGTGTTCTTCAGTACCTTTATAAGTTTTCCATATTCAGTATTTATTGGAATTTAACCAATTACATTCAAAGTAATTTTCTTGATGATTATTAATTTTAATTAATAAAGAAAAATCAAAATTTTAAGGAAAGTAAAAAGATAATGCTTAAAATTTTTAAATAATGCCCTAAGTGCGAAAACCATTATGACTGAATAATGGCCCAGAACTGGCAAGCGAATAGAGCGTTTGATCGAACATAATTTGGATTGTTGTAGACAAATTCCGAATTTTTGGCATATAGATTTCGAATTGTTCCATACTTGTTTCGGATCTAATCTATCCGTATTTAATCCGGAATTAGTCCAAATTTTTTACCAGGGCTGTCACGCATAAAAGAAAGCACCTCTATACACAAAGACAGTAGTACTTATTCCACAAACTCAAGAAAAAGTCTATTAAACTTTCGCACAACTATTTATCGGTACGGGTCCACGTGCATGGCCCAAAAGCATACCTACAAATGTTTAAATCACGATTTTTCTGTAAAAACAAATGTCAGAAAATTAGCAAATATACTATTCGAAAGCTTAAAATATTCTACGTTCAATAATATACAATTACATACAGTCAACTCTCGATAAGACAAAGCGCGATAAATCAAATTTTTCGGTAAGTCAAAGTAATTCTTGGGTCCCGTTCATTCCTTATAAGCATTATTAACATTTGATAACTCAAACTTTTCAATAACTCAAAGTTTTTTCGGTTTCCCTTCGAGTTTGTCTTATCAAGAGTTGATTGTATTTTACAATCAAATTTTTTTTACAATTTTTTTAACTTTTGCATATTTGGTTCTCCTTTGGTTCTCTATTGATTCTCTTTTATTCTCTTGATCCTTTTTTGATACACTTTTGCTTCTCTTGATTCTCATTTGATATTTTTTTGCTTCTTCATAATTATCTTTTTCTTAAATATAATTTTTCCTTTTACACTGTAAAAACAAGTGTCTCAATGTAAGACGTTTTGTCCCCAGTTTTGAAACATTTGAGGACAAAAACGTCTTACATTGAGACACTGTTTTTACAGTGTAGTTCTCTAAAATTCTCTTCAACAGACAATTAATTTTTAGGACTATGAGCCAATTAAATTAGTTTGAAAGTTGGCTATTATTATGGCGTTATTATAAAAACTGTGAATCAACATAATCATTACATTGATAATTTGTCGAATATTTTTTTCGCAAAATACTGAACAACATTATTAACAATTATATAGAGAAGTCTAAAATATTATACCAATGCAGGGATATCTAAAAAATGTTGATTAACCCTTTGAAGCATACATTTTTCTTGTAAAAGCGGGATTAGCTGCCAATTTTTGAGCACTCATATTATCCACTTGTAATTCGATCGAGTTAGCATCAGATACTCCAAGCTCCAAAAGAAATCGCCAAAGGTAAATAATTTCTTTAGCCGCTTTTTCCATGGCCATGTACTCGGCCTCGGTACTGGATTGTGCGACGGTCGGCTGCTTCCTGGAATCCTACACGATGGCACCTTCACTCAAAAGAAACACGTTGACTGTGTATGACTTCCTGTCGATAATGGAATCTCCCCAATCGGCATCCACATACCCGTTGATTTTTCTGCCACCATGCCTGTAAAAAATACCAAGATCAATTGTACCTTTCAGGTATCTTAATACCCGCTTTGCTGCGTTCCAGAGTTTATTCCCAAAACAATCGTTAAACTGGCTGAGAACGCAAGCCGTGCGAGACAAATCCGGGCGTGTTGAAACTGACATGTAGAACAGGCATCCAACCAGCTCTCAATAAGGCGGAATTTTCCCTTTCGACTCTTTCCAAACTTTGTCCTTGGTTAATTGTGTACCCGGATCGAGTGGTGTTCAAACCGGATTTCACTCCGTCATTCCAAAGCGTTAAAGAAGACTGGTGATGTACGTCCTGTGATTGATAAGTATTCCATGATCACTCGTATTGAAATCCACCCCGAGACAGCGTTTTACATCACCGATGTTTCTCATTTCTAAAGCTTTTGATAGACTGCTCGTAAGTTTCGGAATTTTCTCGTCATCCTGACACATGATCAACAAATCGTCCACGTAAATAACGATAATTATTAATTCTTTGTCTTCAAATTTTAAATATACACATGGGTCCGAGTTAGTTGATCTAGCTCTCAATTTTCGGAGTTCTTTGTCTAGATGTTTGTGCCAGACTGATGTGTGTTTGTGATGACTGCTCTCGAGGAATCTCGTCAATTAGAAAGACGTCTCCAGATTTTGGATCTGGCGTGCCACCGAGTCTGTCGGTGAATCTGACGTCTCTCGAAATTATTACTTTCTTCTCAGAGTTCACCCATACTCTGTATGCCTTTGACTCCGCACTGTGTCCAAGAAAAATCCCTTCTCGATAACGTGGTTATATAAAACGGCGTTTTTCCTCCTAATTTTCTAGACGGTGACCTGATTCTTATGAAATTCGCTGTGTTAACAGCCTCTGCCCAAAATGCATCAAGAAATCCTGATTCAATCAACAAGCATCTTGCTGTCTCTATGAGGGTTCGATTTCGACGTTCCGAGACACCATTTTGCTGTGAATTGTATGGAGCAGTAAGTCGTCTCAGGATTGCGTGTTTTAGGAGTATCTCGTTCAGGGTGTGATTGTCATACTCTCTGCCATTATCAGATTGTAGTGCTTTGATTCTCTTCCCTTCTTGCGTTTCCATCAGTGCTTGAAATTTGTCAAATTCTTCGGGAACTTCGCTTTTTCGACATAAGAATCTGACCTCGCACCATCCAGACGAATCGTCGATGAAAGTGAGAAAATATCCCTTTTTCCCATGAGAAAGAACACGCATGAGACCACAAATGTCCGTGTGAATTGAATCCCTACACTTGTCATTCTGTTTGATTCCTTGGGAAATGGGATCCGACACATTTTTCCTAGGGCACACGTGCTGCACTCGAATTCTTCGTTTACGTTGTTGACTTTAATACCTTGAATATTTCCTTCCACGGTGGTCTTCAAGCACTTTTGGTTTACTTAAAATGAGTCAAAATTGTGCTAACGCAGTTTTATCTGGAATCGTTCTAAGATTCCAAATTTCCATTTCCGAAAATCGTGGCTGATTCTTTTTTTGAAAAAAACATATATATGGGCAATTCCACGTGAGATTTTAGTCGACCTCTATAAATCGGTCAAAAATATTTTTTTTCTATTCTGTATCGAAAAAAACAGATATACGTATTTTTTTATTTTTGTTTCAATTGTCCAAATTTTCGAGATATAAATTTTCGAAATTTTGGACTTGTAATTGTAGACCTATATTCAGTAGCTTATAAATCCGAAAATATTGAGTTTAGGAAAAAGTTGTCAAACAACGAAAGTTTAAGTTTTCTTTCGACTTTTAAGAAATGTAAACAAAAAATTTTTTAAAAATTTTTTATTAAAAATTTTTTGTATATTTAAAAAAAAATTTTTTTATTAACAAATTAATTTTTTTTAACTTTAGGCCAGATTTTTTTTTTATTTTTTTAAAATTTATTTATACCTTATAATATAGTGGAAATTTTCCAAAAAGTCCCGAAATGGGCCTGATGTGTTAAATGAGTTTTAAAACATTTTCAAAAATCACTTGCAAGCATCACAGAGGGATTATTTTACAATTAACTTTTAAAAATGTCTACAGCGTATAATTTTATATCTATTTGAGTGTTTTTTGTCTTAAATTAAAGAGTCTACGCTGTAGACATTTTTAAAAGTTAATTGTAAAATAATCCCTCTGTGATGCTTGCAAGTGATTTTTGAAAATGTTTTAAAACTCATTTAACACATCAAGGCCATTTCGGGTTTTTTTTTGAAAAATCTTCTCAATATTATGAGGAACAAATAAATTTTAGAAAAATAAAAAAAAATCCGGCCTAAAGTTAAAAAAATTAATTTGTTTATAAAAAAATGTTTTAAAAAATTTAAAAAAAAATTTTGTTTACATTTCTTAAAAGTCGAAAGAAAACTAAAACTTTCGTTTTTTGACAACTTTTTCTTAAACTCAATATTTTCGGATTTATAAGCTACTGAATATGGGTCTACAATTATTACAAGTCCAAAATTTCGAAAATTCATAACTCGAAAATTTGGACAATTAAACAAAATTAAAAAAATACGCATCTGTTTTTTTCGATACAGAATAGAAAAAAATATTTTTGGCCGATTTTAAGAGGTTGACTAAAATCCTATTATATAAAAACATTTCGCAGCCGCCGCAGAGTCAGGATTTCTAAGGGCCCCTTATAGTAGAGGGAACATAGTCAAGGTTGGCCCACTGTTAAGGTAGGCCCATAGTCAGAAACAAGTTACATTTGACCTAAATTCAGGTCAATTTTAAGGGCAGTTTTAACCTACAGGTCAAAAATTGACAAACTAATCCCTCAGCCTTTAAAATTTAAATCAATTTTAAAGGCAGATTTAACCTACAGGTAAAAAATTGACATACTAACTAATATGCCCTCAAAATTTAAGTCAATTTTAAGGGTAGTTTTGACTTAAAAGTCAAAAATTGATAAACTTATCGCTCTGCCCTCAAAATTTAGGTCAAATTTAAGGGCAGTTTTAACCTACAGGTCAAAAATTGACAAACAATTCCCTCTACCCTCAAAATTTAGGTCCATTTTAAAGGCAGATTTAACCTACAGGTCAAAAATTGACAAACTAATCCCTCTGCCCTTAAAATTTATGTCAATTTAAAGGGCAGTTTTAATCTTCAGGTAAAAATTGACAAATAATTCCCTCTGCCCTCAAAATGTAGGTCAATTTTAAGGGCAGTTTTGACCTAAACGTCAAAAATTCACAAACAATTTTCTCTGACCTCAAAATGTAGGTCAATTTTAAGGGCAGTTTTAATCTACAGGTCAAAAATTGACAAACAATTCCCTCTGATCGCAAAATTTAGGTTAATTTTAAAGGCAGATTCAACCTGCAGGTCAAAAATTGACAAACTAATCCCTCTTCTCTTAAAATTTATGTCAATTTGAAGGACAGTTTTAACCTACAGGTAAAAAATTGAAAAACAATTCCCTCTGCCCTCAAAATGTAGGTCAATTTTAAGGGCCCAAAATTTAAGCAGTTAAAAGGGTCTTCAAAATTTAAGTCAAATTTGACATATTTTTTAACCTACATATCAAAAAAGCAAATTAATTAGGATTCTTCAAGAGGTCGTTACCTTATATTAAAATTTGACGAAATTTTTTACTTATATAGGTTAAAAGAAGTTTGACCTAAATTTTAATAGTATGTTTTAATCAATAAAAGATGTTATAAACTGACATCTATTTTTAAAAATTCTATTAAAATTTATTTTCTTTCAGAGGGTAAACATAACCTCAAACTTAGTTCAAAAGTTATAGGTGAGAGAGTAAAAATAAAACGTTAAAATTAGGTCAAAATAATAGGTGGGAAAGCAAACATAACTTTAAAATTAAAAAGAGTCAAAATTTAATCTAATTTTTCACATAAGGTTAAAAAAAGGTCAATAACGATTGTTCCATTACTTAAAAATCCATGTGTACTTTGTCATATACTTATTGTAATTTATTATGATGCATTCATATTAAAAAAACATTATTTAAAATTTATAAAAATTAAAATAAATATAAAAAATACAGATAGGGGGTTGTATGTAATTTATTATGATGCATTCATATAAGAAAACATTATTTTAAATTTATAAAAATTAAAATTAAAATAAATATAAAAATAGAAATAGGGGGTTGGCATGCGAAGCCCGCAGGGGGTCAGAGCCCCCCTAGTAATATATATATATATGTTTTTTTTCGAAAAAAGAATCAGCTACGATTTTCGGAAATGAAAATTTGGAATCTTGGGCCGATTCCAGATAAAACTGCGTTAGCACAATTTTGACTCATTTTAGGTAAACCTAAAAGTGCTTGAAGACCACCGTGCTTCCTTGATAGCATCCCGTAGATATTGGACATTTAGATGACTTATCCGCCTGTGCCAGTCTTCCAAGGAGTTTATCGATGATTCCGGCTTTATAAGAATACTTATATCCTCGGTGACACTTGCAGATTGGTTAGACGAATCCCAGTGTGCACGTTCTGGAACTGTTCTGTTACAGTTAATAGAAATAAAGAACAGTTACAGAACGGTTCCTGAATTGTGCCGGAACGTGCACACTGGGATTTTTCCCGCTTAGACAGTTTCGCGCTCGGTGTCTTTTTTTTCCGTTGTAACATTTCATCTTCGAATCCGATCTTATCACACTGTCCTTTTTATTCTCGAGTTTCGTAGCAAGCATCGCGTTATGTGACAATCTTTGATTCGTCTCTTATCTCGCTTCTGATTCTTCGATGACTTTGATTCGAAGTGTTTTAAGCGATGGCAGCTCGTCCTGTGAAGATATGGCGCATCGGAAGTTTTCGTAGTCCTCCGGTAGACTTCGCAAAAACATGATGGCTAACAAATCTTTGTTAATCGATATATCCAGTTCTGCCAACTTGTCAAGGATTTCGAGAAAGGACTGTGAATGCTGCCTAACGTCTTCGCCATTTTTCATTTTCAAGGACATTAGCGGGTTGAGAAATGACGCTTTTCTCGCAGGTCCCTTAGACTGGTAGGTGTTTTCTAATGTTACCCATATCTCTCGAGTTGTAACACAATCTTTAATGAGCCTGATCTCCGATGGGCTAATCGCGAGCACAATATCCGATTATGCTTTTAGATCGGCGTCCGTCCACAGATTTGCAGCTTCTTGTGTCGCTGGGTCTGGGTTTTGGGCAGGAACTTCTTTTTTCACGACTGTTCCGCTTGCGTACCCCACGCATAATTTTTAATTAGGAGAGCACGCATCTGGAGCTTCCAGGTATCATAGTTGTCCTTTGTAAGGACCTCGAACCTTACTATTTAGGTTAAACTAAATAATCTCAAATTAACAGTTTGAGCACCTTTATGTGGCAACTGACCGGTACGACCGACGACGTCGAAAACACCCTCATTTTTCCCGTCTCTCCGAAAGCACGCTTACCTCTAAAAAATAATCGTCACTACGTTTACCGTTTTATAGCTT